TATGGTGGCAAAATGCGACGCATGTCAGCAACACAAGTATTTGATCATGACGCTAGGAAGATTACTACAACCATTAGCATTACTGAGGAAAGTTTGGGAAGAAGTGATGATGTATTTTATGGAGGGATTGCCACGATCGGAAAGTTTCATGGTGATCATGGTGGTCGTGGATCGCTTGAGTAAGTATGCACATTTCATTCCCTTAAAAAATCCCTACCCGATGGGCTCAGGCACGCACATGTTGGGAAGTGGTCTGTTTGCACGGGATATCATAATCGATTGTTTCAGATAGGGACAATACGTTCCTCAGTTACTTTTGGAAAGAGCTATTTAGGTTGCCAGGAACAGTTCTCAAGAGGAGCATTGCATATCATTTCTAAACCAATAGACAAACGGAGGTGGTCAACAGGAGTGTGGAGACATACCTGTGTTGTTTTGTATTTGATATGCTGAAGTTATGGGCTGAGCGGATTGCATGGGCCGAATATTGGTATAACATGTCGTACCACACCGCATCACAGACCACTCCTTTCAAGATATTATATGAGTGTGATTCATCTCACTTGATACATTATGGGCATAGCACCACACCAGTATCTAGCATTGATCAGTACTTGCAGGAGAGGGAGAGAGTACTAGCAGAGCCAAGGGGCATTTACTGAAAGCTCAACAAATCATGAAGAGGAAAGTGGATGAACACAGGACAGAGGTGCAATTTGAACCAGGGGATATGGTCTACTTGAAGTTGAGGTCCTACCAGCATAAGACATTGGCCAGAAGGATGAGCGACAAACTTTCACCATGATACTATTGACTATATGAGGTGATGACGTGCATTGTGTAAGTGTCTATCATTTGAGATTACCACCATCATCCGCACTACACTCAGTCATGCATATATCACAACTGAGACATGCGATTTGAGATTTTACACCCTCACCTACACTACCGTCAACGCTGACAGAAGGCCTGGAGGTGATTTTGGAGTGAACGGGGGGAGCCGAGGAAGAAGGAAAGGGAAGAGTGGGGTCCACTAGGGCCATAATCACCAATGCAAGGAGAAGAAATTAAAAGAGTTAGGAGGGAAAGTTTTTGAAATGCTGGGGGGGATTCTATTAGGGGGAGAATATAGGGTTTGCTTTTTTTTATGCATGTTTTTCTGTGCTCCTAGCGATGTCTAGGGTGTGGGAGACTCGATCTACCTCTTGAAAGTAGATCAACCATGTATCTTGATTGTTTTCCTTTGATTGTTATAAGAGCAGCCCTTATTTGTTTTTCTTTCACTTATTTGTTGTCGTTTCGTGTGGTTTGTTTGTTGGTTTTGATGCAGAGGCGTATCACATTTCTATCTTTTATAAAGGAATGTTATAAGATTTTGTTCCATGAAGAAGATATATCATTGATTCTATAAGCTTGGAATAAAAAATTTCAAAGAAGAATTTTTAGAGAGACTATAGTGTCAAAGAATAACCGAGTGATTTGAGATCAAGGGTTCTGTATCTGTGTTTTTGCATAGTTTTTTTGTTAATGAATTTTAGTTTCTTGCTAAAAAAATAAGAGTCCAGATTAATCTCTTTAGTCTTGCGTTAGATTGATTATAGTGTCTTATCAGCGTTTTTTGGATAAGTTTTGGCATCAGTGCACTATATTTGAAAAAATCGTGGTGCATGATGCTATGACAAATGGCTATCTGAAGATCATAGAATCATTCTTGTGCTAGATTCTTCAGTAAGAAGATAAGTGAAAGTTGATATGTCAACATCACTAGGAGAAAATTTTGGTGATTTGGTCACCCAACACGCTCTCTTTCAACATCACCTGCTTATGATAATAGAGATGGTAAGTGAGCAAATATTGATGATGATAACCTACCCAGGGAAAATCTGATCACAGAGAAATATATTTTAATCATAAAAGCGAGATCCAAGAAAGGTTCTTACAAGCAAAGGAAGTAACTTAGAAGAAGCTAAGCATCTTGAGCTTCTTTTTTGAGGATGATAACAATATTTCAAGGTTTAAGCGAAAATTAATATTAGGGTTTAAATTGATATTCAATTTTTCGTTTATGATTTTAATGATTTTCAACCTGTATGCATATTCTTCCCTGTAGAGATTTTGTTCTCTCATCTTAATACTCACCGAGCGTGCATTACCTTTTTGGAATGCTCGCCTTTGACATGTGCATCAAAATATAGCCTATAGGAAATTTGAGAAGTTGCTTTCATCAAGATATTTTAATGATGGGGTAAGAAGAATATAGGTGGGTGAAATGGTTGTAAAAGGTCTAATAGTGCAAGATAGAAGCCCTGATGATTGGTGTGTTATTGGAAGACATCTTTGTGGTGATGAAGTACATGCATGACCACATTATGGCATTTCCAGTAAAGTTTACCTATTCTTCGTTAGAGAGCTTAGTCATGCAAGCATGTTTATCATAGCTATTCAAATACATTATAAATTTTTATTCATAAGAAAGTAAGAGAACAAAAGTTGCTGAGAAGGAAAATTATTGACATTGAAAGAACTCTGACATAGGTAATTATGCAACGGCCTCCTCTTCTAAAAAAAACATTTATTTTGATCATTGTTAAATCTCAGGAACATGATGGAGCAAGATGTTGGAAACATCATCTGAAGCTCTTGCTAGAGGCATTCAAGAAGAGTATAAGGGGGAGATTGTTTTGGCGTCCTGTTCAATTCAACACTTAACATAGAAAATTAATAGTTTTCTTTGGCTTTATGCACATTTGGTTTAATTTGGGACAATTTAATAGTTTTTTTTAATAGTTTTCAAACTTCTATACTATTATTTTTTCATCCATCTTGTCTACAATCTTCTTTTTCTACTTGAGGCTCTTAATCGCCATACAATAAATCTAATCTTATTTTTGGACTTGCAGCTAATGCTCACTCTCACCGAAGGTAATACTTGCAAGCGAATACCTAACTAATGCTTCCCTACATTTCATCACTATCCAGTTAAACTATGGAATTTGCTTTAGCTGATTATTAGAATGGCTTCATCTGCTTGTCTTGATTCTAGTTTAGAGTATAACCATTAATGATGTATCCCACCGTCTTCTATTTATCAACACAATTAACCTTAATCGTACCAAATGCCAAATTAAGATTCATTTATTTCAAAAAAAAAAAAAAAGATTCTAGCATAGGTTTTATGATCTTCTATTAAATTGATATAAATTCTCAATTTTTCTCATTAGGATTGGGGCTGACTGACAAATTTTGGATTGTTCGTTCTTCAGATGTATAATGGAGTTTCTTGAGCAATAAATTAAGTACTGGCTGCTTGAATTTTTGCCATGCTCATATTGGATTGTTAGTAAATAAACCTTAAGACTTTATTTGGCATCATCTCATGTTTTCCCCTATCATGCCTCCCTATGGAGAGACAAGAGTTAGAGAGAAAGAAGAAGGACGCAACTAGAAACAGAAGCAAGAGTAAGAAAGTAATTCCCGGAGAAAATACATGAAAAAGAAAAAAAAAAACCCTTTTTTATATTTTATGAGCAATCTGTTGAAATTACAACCCATAGCCTTTTATATGTAACAGTAGTAGTTACAATGTCATGAACAACCTAATTTGATAACAAAATGATTATGAGGGCATTGCCATAAACACGACATCAAATAATAATGATTATACTAATTGATACCAGAGTTAACCTACACCACAATATAAAAAAACAAATTTATTACCTAAAACAGATAGGTGGTTACGATCAACACACTTGAAAGGGACAATACAACAGCACGACACCGATAATTCTAAATTGCAACAAACACGACACAAATAATCAAACTAGGGTAGGATCTCAAGGTGATGGGGGTGATCTACGGGGCTTGGAAGGTGGCGGTAAGGTGGGAACGCGAAACAAGTGAGCGGATATGACAACGGAATAATGGATCCTTGCTATTATGGGCTGCAGCAAAGTGGATTTTGGGTTCCCAGGGGTTGGATCATGGATGTGTGGCAGGGAGGCAGTGCAAGAGGGCTGGGACAGCGATTAGGTGGCAGGGACGTGGCCCGAGGTGACTGGGACAGCAGCTAGTGGGAAGGGGAGAGGATTTATGGTGGTTGGAATAACGATGACAGCAAGTGGGAAAGCTGGATTTGCAGGAAATGTGGGTTGGAATGTGGAAACTGCAGGAAAAGTAGTGTCGGCAATTGTTCCGTCGGCTACAGCAGAAAACGGTGGCGGGGAGTGGTGTGGGGCTGATGCGGAAGGGGAATAGGAAGATAAACACCATCTTGGGAGAGGGATACAGCTGGATCACCACTCAAACCCTCGGATACATCCCTCAAAGGTAGAAAAAGGATGTCGGTGGCCGACCTAAAAAAAACACATGAAAAACTGACTTCCAAAACCTATTACAACGCATAGGAAATGACTAAAAATGAATGAAGGATCATAGAAAAGAAATTATAAGAAAAGAAACATGATTATTTCAGTGCATCTCCCACGATAACTATGCCCGATGTACTGCAGCAACCACCGTATTGCGGTAATTTATTATGGTGAGCTCCCGCGTCACTGACAAGCAAGTGACTATTGGTTGAGGATTGAATTAGTTGACTTGCATTGCATTGGTGGGGCCATAGGTATTCCACATGAGGGTGAGCAAAATACCACCTGGCCACATGTAGATCAGTCAGGGAACCTACAGCATGTGCCCCACCATATGCATGTCTTTGCCCTGAACATAGCTTTTGAATAGATATTGGAATTGTACACCTCAATCAAGAAGTTTAGAACTGTAGAATATTTCAAATATTTTTCATAAAGCAGTGCTCAATTTTCAAATTTTAGAAACCGTGTTGGGAGCATTGCATGGCATTTGTTATCAGTTGAAACATATATGCGGCATTTTAAGTTATTAGCAGTCATGGATCTACGGACCTATGTTTATTGAAGTATGTAATGGAGTTGCAAGCTTGTGTGGTTTATAGGAAACCTATATGACATCTCCTTTTATTCCAGTATTGGACCACAATCCTTGGAGAGAAGACTCTAAGCCCGTTTTTGTGCTGACTCAAGGGAACAATCAACTGTGCACAATGAAAACACGTCAGAGTCGCAGGTTTGGTTGGAATTGCATTATTTTTTTCTTTTAAAGTTAATAATAAGTAATCTTGATTGTTCATATTTTGCAGTGAAGTTGAAAGGGAACTTGGGCTGCTGTTTACTACAAGGACAAAATGTGATAAAAAAGTTGATATAACCAAGCATGTAAAATCTGGCACCAAGTTTAATATGCTTGTTGAAGATATTCGGGAGGGAGTGCTTGTAAGCTATTGTCCTTTCTAATATTTTGTTAAAATAAGCTTGTTTAGTTATCTGTTTAATGCTATCAAGTATTCAGTGGCTTCTTCCCTTTCATCGAAGTGGTTGAAATTTTTTCTAATATTATGTTAAAATAATCTCTTTTAGCTATCTATTTAATGCTATCATGTAATCAGTAGCTTCTTCCCTTTCATGGAATGTGATGAAGATCAAATATTGTAGTTTAACGAACACTAAAAAGATGCTATAAGCTTCGAACAATAACCATAAACAGTGACATCTTACATTCATTGTGAATATTAAAACTTTGACTAATAACTAGTTAGTGACTTAATCTAATTTTCAATGTCACTTGATCTATCAACATCGCATGAATGTGCTTCCAATGAATAAGAGACTCTTTATGGATCGAGTGACAGGAACAGAAGAAAGAGACAGGAGCTTCGGTGTCCTGTGCGGTGATCGGTCCTTCTATGCTATGATCCCGTAGTGTGCAAGCAGGGATCGGCGGGCCTTTTGCGTGCGATCAGCTTAAATGATATTTTATGCGCTGCGATCCCATCGCTGATTTCCACGCTGGCCAACTGCGATCGTTGTTTCCCTCGCTGGCCAGTTGCGATACCATTATTGCTTCACTCGCTGGCCCTAGGCGCGATGGTATCCCAAAAAAATGCAGTCACAAAGTGGAGTATTTGGTAGCTGAGAAGGCATCGAAAGAATTGCGGCTAGGGTAGAGAAGTCTTCGCATGTTGTTGTAGTTTGAATAGGGAGAAGGTCGAGCGACAGAGAATTTGGGTGTAGGGATCGGTGAAGTGGCTTCAGCTGAGTGGATTTGCGGGGAAGAGTAGAGTGTGGCTCGATCTGCTTTTATGGACTGGAGAGGCAAACGATTGGAAATATCACAAGGAAGGAGCGATCGGTTGGGCTCGATTTCAGCGTGCTAATAGGGAGGAGAGGTGAGGCTTCATGCGGACTATGGCAAAGTGGATTGCACAAACTTGTGGGAAGGAAGGTGCGTGTGATCCATGTGATATCAACTTGTTTCTTGTGATTGAAATATCTGGAGATGGAGATTGTGTTGGAGGTAAGGCATTGGAACTTATGGGGAAGATGGATCCCAGAATTCTAAAGGTCTTGGTCGGGCTCATACAGATCGTTAATGCCTCGACAGGAATCGCGACTTCAACACATGCTTCGACCCAAGAGGAGAGTCACATTAAGCTACACTCTGAGCCAAGTGATTTTTCGGGTGCATTATTAGCATTGATTGTTGCGAGCTCAGGTACATTAGGCATCCAAGGGGAGACTCACAAGTTCTATAACTGTGGTAAAGTTGTCCATCTGAGCAATGCCTATTCTAAGCCACCTAATGAGAGAGAGACAGGAAGGCGTAGACAAGGTGGAGGTCATGGTCGTGGGGGTTGGAAAGGTGAAAGAAGGGGCTACTGGGCAGATCTGATGGTGGCAGAGGACAAGGGAGAGACAGTTGTGATATTTACTAGTGAGGAGAGTGTCTGGAGCTATTGAAGAGAAAGCAAAAACAACAGCATATGGAGTTAAAGATGTTTCAAATCCATTGACATCAGGGTAACATTACCACTTATGCTCGCTTCAAAAAAGGTACCGGTGACATACTTGCCTCTATTTCCATCTAGGGTTGTCAAAAAAACTCATTGTTTGCGAACAGTTCGTGTTCGGTTCGTCATTGAGTTTGTGTTCGATTCGTTCGATAAGTAGACGAGACTAACATGAACAAACTTTTTTCGTTTGGTTAGTTAAATGAACCAAACACGAACAGTGATGCGTTCGTTTGTATTCGAATCTTTACTGTTTGAAATATAAAATAATTAAAAATTTATGATATTTTAACAAATATATTTAATAAATTATAATATATAATAAAATAATAATAATAATATATTAATATGCTATATTAGTAATATACTAATATAGATATTATATATTTATATAATATAAGTTATATAATTAATATATCACGAACAATTTCAAACACGAACTTATTTCAAACAAACTAAATTTCAAACGAACTGAACACGAACACAAGCTCTATTCGTTCGTGTTTGGTTCGTTTACACCCCTATTTCCATCACAGGATCATCAAAATAGATCATAGATTTTGGTGTTCCCTCATCATGTGACAGGTATTGCTAGAGAGTTATTTTTATATACTCTTCTAGCAGTACCAGAGAGTATACAGACTGCTCACAACTCAACTTGTAATTGGTAAGGGTCATTGAGATGTACCGATCATGTAACTTTGTTCAATGTTTCGAATGTTTATTCTTTTCCAGTAAACTTCTTATCCATTAGTGCTATTATTCTCCAATTAAAATGCTTTGGTTCTTTTTATATTACTCAAGTGATCTTCTTAGAAAAGGGACGGGTTGGACACTTAGGTTGGAACGTTGCATATCAGACTCCGGTACTTGGACTGGGAGAGGATGGACTCAACTTTGACATTTATGGTGGAAATTGTGGATGTGTAGGAGAATCGAGGAGGAACGTTGAGGACGTGTTACTGCTACATCACAGACGTGTGAGACATTCTAATCTTAGTTTAATGAGTCAGTAGTATCAATCTATGTTTGAAATGAAAAATAAGGAGAAACTTGTGTATGATGCTTGTTAGTTTGACAAGCTCATTAGAAGCTCTTATGTCAATTCTAGGAAAAGGAGCTTTGGTGTGTTTTATTTTATACATTCTGATGTATGGGGACTTTGTCCTATTAATTCTATGAATGAATATAATTATTTTGTTACGTTGTTTTTTCTCGTGTTACCTGGATATGCTAGATGAAATAGAATAGTGAGGTGGTTGTTTTTTTTTTAAAGGTTTTCATAAGACAATTCAAACTCAATATGGTGCAGTTGTGAAAGCAGTGAGATCTGATAATGAGACAAAATATATTAACAAAGCGTTTCAGGACTACCTGTCAGCTCAAGGGATACAACATCAAACCACATGCTCATATGCATCAGCACAGAATAGAGTAGCAGAGAGGAAGAACCGACATCTTCTAGAGGTGACAATGAGTATGATGATGATAATGAATGCCCCACAACACTTATGGGGGCAAGCAGGGTTGATAGCTGCTCAATTGATTAACAGGATGTCCTTAAGGGTACTGGAGTGGAAGTTTTCTTGTTAGATGTTGAAAGGAGACAATAGTAAGACCCTTCTATTGAAGATATTTGGATGTGTATGTTTTTTAAAAGACAACAAGTCGTCTATAGGGAAGTTAAACCCTAGAGCTGTGAAATATGTGTTTGTGGGTTATTCTGCTACTCAGAAGGGTATTGTTGGAGCTCAATTGAGAAGAGACTCTTTGTGAGTATGGATGTCATTTAGAAAGTTAGAGTCATACCATACTCTGGAGATGAATTCACTCTTCGGTGACGCAACAGTCACTAGAGATATAAAGCAGGAGAGAGTGAGTAATAGTTTTGATGGAGTGATGCGAGTGTGAACAATGCCTTGTCCCGTGATGTGAGATGAATCAATTGAGAAGATGGAAATTGAGGAGATTGACCCAGACGTGGTGGGATTCAGGTTGAAGGTGAGTTAAGAGTGTATACACGGAGGAAGAAGCAAACTGAGGAAACAGAGTCTGCAGTGCCAACAAGCCCCTTGTCCCGGTTTCCCCAACTCTTGAGACACCTATACCATCCACCTTTGATTCAAAACTCTCAGGTGCTATTGTTACTCATTCGACCACTCCTACTCTCCCAACATTAAGGAGGAACTCCTGCAAAAATACGGGACATCCTCTTGATCGTTTTAGGTGGGAACTTGACATTGTGAATTTTATTTCTTATTCTAACATCTCACCTTTACATGGAGCATTCATTGTACCATCGGACTCTGTCTCTATACCCAAGTATTGACAGGTTGCTAAAGAGAATCTCAAGTGGAAAGCAGTGATGCATGAAGAGCTTGGAGCTTTTGATAAAAACTGAATATGGGAGATTGTACCGCTATCAATAGGGAAGAAGAAAGTTGGATACAAGTTGATCTTCACGGTAAAACAAACTCTAGAAGGGAAGGTGGAGAGGTTCAAAGCGCAAATAATGGCAAAAGGGTACAGTTAGACGAATGACATTGAATACGATGAAACATTTGCACCATTAACAAAGATGAGCACGGTGAGGATGTTTCTCTTGTGGATATTGGATGGGGACTCTACCAACTAGATGTGAAGAATGTTTTTTTTTTAATGGGGAGCTACTAAAGGAGGTATATGTGGAGTTAGCACCAGGATTCAGTACTTCCCTGATAGTGGTAGGGTATGTAGGCTCAAGAAGTCACTGTATGGTTTGAAGCAACCTCCTCAAGTTTGGTTTGACAAATTTAGAATGACGATGTTTGACATGGAATATCAGCAAATCAATGCAGCTCACACAGTATTCTTTCGGCAAAATGAAGGTCACGCTACTATACTTGTTGTTTATGTGGATGATATAATTATCACTGATGATGATGAGGTAGAGATTGTCTAATTGATAGGAAGATTGAGGAAACAATTTGAGATAAAGGATTTTGGACAACTAAGATACTTTCTTGGGAATGAAGTCGCCCATGGACCTAAGGGGATGAATTTATCTCAGAGAAAGTATGTACTGAATTTTCTCTCGGAGGACAGCTTTGCAGGAGTGCAAACCTGCAATCTCTCCTATTGATTAGAAGATCAAGCACAGTATATAGGCAGGTGAATCAGTTGATCGTGAGAGGTACCAGAGGCTGGTGGGCTGTCTGATCTATCTATGCCACACTCGACCCGATATTTCTTTTGTAGTAAGTGTAGTGAGCCGTTACACGGATGATCCTAGGGAAGATTCATATAGATGTAGTGTATCAAATTTTGAGGTATCTAAAGAGTACACCAGGAAAAAGGTTGATATTTAGGAAGAATGACATGTAGATATTGAGGATTTTTGTGATTATGACTATGCAAGTTGTGTGATGACAAACGATTCATATCAGAATACTGCATGTTTGTCGGTGACAAATTGGTCTCGTGGAAGAGCAAGAAACAGTCAGTTGTGGCAAGATCAACAACAAAGGCAAAATATAGGGGCATGGCATTAGGATTTGCGGAGATGATGTAGCTGAGAGCCTTGTTGGTAAAGCTCAAGGCGGACCAAGGAGCTCAAATGAAGTTGTGGTGCGACAACAAGTCGTCGATTAGCATCACCAATAACCCGGTGCAACATGATAGAACATGTGGAGATTGATAGGTTCTTCATCAAGGAAAAGCTGAATAACAAACTATTGAAGCCAAGTCATGTAGCCACTAGAGAGTGAGTGGCTGACTGTCTCACCAAAGGACTTAGTTCATTAGATTTGTCTAGGTTATGTAACAAGATGGGTTTAGTAGATATCTTTTGCCCATCTTGAGGGAGAGTGTTGAGATTTGTTTTTAAAATAGATTAAGTCTAGGGTTTTATTTGTAAATGTGAAAAAAAGCTCTATATAAGTCTGTCATCCATGAAATGAAGGTTGTTTTTTGGAACAATTATTTCTATTAGTTCCAACACTTGAAGGCGTTATCAATTACCGTACATATGTTTATATTTATTAGTTTTAATGGCATTTTATTAAATAAAATCCTAACAATTTAATTTAGATATAATATTTCCTGGCTAATCCTTATGTCAACTTATGCCCCTAATTTTAAAGTAGTTGCATGCTTCTTCATAATCCTGTAGATTTAACCAGGCCTTTTATTTAGATATAATAAAGTCCTCACTTTTTTCGAGATCCTTTGTATTGCCTAATCAAATCCTAATACTTAATGTCTTGTGCTTTACTAGGTTTCCTAGGCATGTCTATCTAAAAACATCTGTTAAGCGCTCTTCCACATAAGCATGTAGATGTTGGTATATCTCAAGTGATGCACCAACATCTGCACGTTTCCCCCATTTGACATCATCAATATTCACCAACATTTGTAGTTCGGTTTTGACGCATCAAAAAATTGACAGTTAGTTTAAGTTACTTATATTGACAAGATCCTCTTTTTAATGAAGTTCTTATGTGAACTTAACATGTAATGATGAAAAGAATTAGAAACAACATGTTTGATCTATTCTCACCCTATTTAATTAAATTAAGCCTGCACGCTCCATTTGATATGATACAAAATATTAAATAAAAGATAGATACTAGTTGAACATGATATACATAAGGAAGCTTTATATCTATCTCCAATATCAAACATATTGCTACAAATCCTATTTACAAAAACAATATAAATATCACATTTTACATGAGAGATTTAAATTATAAAAGCATATAAGTTTATCAAGCACAACTGGTTTTAAAATTTGCATACCAATTATTAATTTATGGCCATCACTTTTTAGCTATCCAAATCAGTATACCAAATGTTAGATAAACAAAATAACATACTTATCTGTTGTGGAACTCAAATGTAAGAATATCAGTCGTTAAAATATATGACAGTTACGATATCAATTATTGAATTTTATAGCTTGCCTATATTATTCAAACTTTAAGAAATGAAATGTAAATTATTTTTAAATTATCATATCAAATTTATTAATAACAAATGTAAATTGTTTGTCTTCAAATCAAATTCTTGCCATCAATTAGCAAATTTAAGATTATTAAACATTTGAAACAAGTTATATGAAATACCAAATGTTTATTGAAAAATAAAATTTTATGGGGATAAATATTATCGACTTGCATAAGTTATTGAGATTAATCAAATAAATGTTTGTAATCATGCAAAACAAATTCATGAAGCTTAATTTAATATTTTTACTAATTTACTTCATGTGGGCTAATTTATGAATCCAATATTTTCTAATTAATCTAAGGCATACTAAATGATCATAGATCATCTAAAGTAAAATGAGTTTAAAATTAATTCTGTGAAGTTATGGCCGCATGGCATAATGATCTTTGAAAACTGTTTTAATCACAAATTATTGGAGAAGACTCATAAGGTCAAATATATAACAATATTTACACCAGTTGTGTGAATCACTTGGTCCTCAGAACTAGTAACTAATCTTGATTATTGTTATTAAATATAAAGATGGTGCTGATAAGTTTTGATAACCTAAATATACGATATTTAAAGAATTTAATTTTTGAATGTGTAGGGCTGCAAATGAACCAAAATGCTTAAAAACTGGTTTGAACCTCGATTAATAAATGAACAATTTCATGTCATTGCCTCGCGTATAAATAAATTTTGAGTTTCACCCATGTATTGTAACCAATGCAATATGGTTGTCTATCTAAGGTACTTTCAACATTCTAAATGGGTCGACGCAATCCATCTTGCAAAAGGGGCGATGATTTAGTGATTTTGATCACAATCAAACTATTGTGAACTCTATTTGTGCAATGTTGTGTCCATTGTTTGCCTTTTTTGCTGTATTTGATTGAATCATCCGCATAGGTCATTTTATTTGTAATTTTGACATTTGGGACATATCAAAGCAGGCACTTTGAGAATAGGCAATGGTTTAATGATTTTTTAGTAAGATTTTTTGCCTTTTTCCTCACAAAGCGTGCTAAATAAGATGGATGTTAGATGTTATTCTTAGGTAATTTCAATATTTCGAATGTGGCAACAAAGTCTATTTACAAAACAAGCAATGTGCAAACGATTTTGGATGTGTTTGACGCCCAATATCTAAGTAGTGCGGCATCGCATTTGTTATCTGTTACTTAAATTGTGCTTTATCTATTTAATGGTGGTGACTTTTTTCATTTATTTCTATACTTTGGATGCGTCAATGTAGTCTGTTTCGCAAAATACGGGACATTTAATGGATTTGATTACAATCAATGCATCTCAAATCCATATCATGTGACACAACATCCATTATATGTCTTAACGTCGCATTTAGTTGTCTGTGGGGAGGCATGAGCATTCACAATAGAGAAAATGAATATATCAAATGGGTAGGTAAATCAGTGCTGGAGAATTAGGTAGGAGTAGACTCATCCTTAATATTGATATAATCTGTTCAAAATGCTTTGTTAAGAATGTGCTTATCATTTCAAGCATCAATCAACAAGAATGAATTATAAAAATGAGAATTCATAAAGTCAGCATCAAATAAATGGAATACGGTTAATGCTAATGATGATAAATCCACTCGCCTTAACATGGGAAAAAACTGCTATCAGGGAATGAAAACTTAAGATGCGACTTTCTTTGGAAGTCTGTTTTTTCTGCATGTTTATCATGTTACTTTGATGTATAGTACAATTGATGAACAACGAATCTTAGTATCTATGTATTATGTTCTTATTGGGTGCCGAAGATTCTGTTAAGCAATATGTTGAAGCATCTCTTCAATGTTTCCAATGAAAAAAAAAATACCTTGCCATCTTTATTGCAGGAGAATTGAACCTCTTTATCTCTGTAATTATTCTTAAAAAAGTAAGGTAGATAAGCCTTGAATTTCTTAAACTGAGAAGCCTTGCTCATTCCAGGTATTTGAAGACGAGAGTGAGGCGAGCAAATATTGTGAGCTACTGCAAGGAGTCCCTAAGTGTGAGGGTATCGCCGAACTTGAAGTTTCATCGGTATGGAATTGAATTGATTGAATGGTGCATTTGACTAATAAATTAGTTACCAATGGCGCATGACAACGTGTCTTCAGGTATTTGATATCTGCCAGAAAATGAAGGCTCTGGCTGTTTTGTTTCGTCGTGGAAGGACCCCACCGCTCCCTAAAAGCCTTGAGCAAAATTTAAGGGCTCGGAATCGGTCCCTTGAAGACCAGGACATCATCTGAAGCAGCCAACTGTGTTTACATTCACAAGGAAAGAGATTTGCGTGAACTAATCATCACCTTGGTGATGGGTGGTGGTTTAGTTTGGTCAAAAACAGAGGTAAAATGTAAGGGAATTTCACCTATTTACTTTTAAATAAAATTAATGTAGTAAAGTTAATATTAATCATATTGGAACAAAATGTGAACAGTTAAATGTATAATATTTAGTATAAGAATTTATTTGATAGAATTTCTTTTGCAATGTGTCACAAGCCTCTTAGAGCAAATCTAGGACTTTCTTTTTAATTATGTAGGGTTTAGGATTACTAGTTTTTTTTTCTTTTTTCCGTATATCTGCTCTGTTGGAAAATTTGAATTTTTATTAGCATATCATTAAAAAAAATCCAAGTTGTTGATATGCCACGTAAAACTTTCTAGTAGTTGGCGTGACATTCTAATCATCTAACTCTTCTGTTCTTCTTAATACAGTATTGCCTATCATTATTTAACTATATATGAGTCAATCGATGGTTAAAATTGTTGGTGCATCCATAATTACGACAACAACAAAGCCTTAATCCTACTACGTGGGGTCGGATACATGAATCATTTTTCTCCATTGTGTCGTATTTAGTGTCATATGTATTTAGTGTCATATTTTTGTGTCGTATTTAGTGTCATATTTTCATTTAGTTCCAATAAATTGAGATCATCTTTTATACAATAAGCCCAAGTTTTCCTAAGTATGTCTCTCTGCATTTCTTAACATAAGTCGAATCCAAAACATCTACTCTCCTAATTGGATCATCAGATGGTTGACGTTTAATGTAACCAAACCATCTAAGACGACTTTCTCTAATTTCGTCTGTCACTGGAGCTACACTATTCCTATCAAGGATATAAGTATTTCACATTTTATCTCAAGTGTAAAGTCACTAATCCACCTAATCATTTTCATCTCGGCAACACTTAACTTAGTATTATGCTTCTCTTTTAAAGGCCAACATTCAGCGCCATAGAGCATTGCGGGTCTCACCACCATCTTATAAAATCTTCCTTTCAATCTAAGCGGTGCTTTTCTATCACACGAAAGGCCTGAAGCATTCCTCCACTTCAACCAACCAACTTGAATTCTACTATTGACATCCCCATCTATATCACTATCACTTTGAACAACAAACCTAAGATATCTAAATCGTTCACACGTTTTAATAATTTGATCACCCAAAGTTACACTTCTGTTACTAGAACTACCACTACTAAAATTACATTCCATGTATTCAGTTTTAGTTCTTCTCAAATGAAGGGATTTAGACTCCAATGTAAACCTCCATAATTCAAGTTTTTCTTGGGCTTTTTCTCTCGTCTTATCCACGAGAAGGATATCATCAGCAAAAAGCATATACCAAGTTAAATCCACGTGTAAATGTCCCGTAAGATCATCCATAAGCAAAAAGATATGGGCTTAAAGCCTATCCCTGATGTAATCCCATAGAAATAGGAAAATATTTGGTCAATCCTCCTTCAATTCGAACACAAGTAACAACTCTAGTATACATATTTTTATTGACTTGACTATAAATCATATCAACACCTTTCTTCTCAAGAACTCTCTAAAGGATATCTCTTGGAATCTTATCATAAGCTTTTTCTAAATCAATAAAAATCATATATATTTATTGATTAGTTTTTTTTTTTCATCTATAATACACTTTACTTGAGTTATATATATATATATATATATATATATATATATATATATATATCACTTTCCTTTGTATCTAATGTACTATAAAGATCGCTAAAAGCAAAATTTTTAGCGTCACAGATTGTTCTTTTTGACTCCCATTTCACTTTCTTTTATATCTAATGTACTATAAAGATCGCTAAAAGCAAAATTTTTAGCGTCACTGACTGTTCTTTTTGACTCCCTGCTGACCGTTTGATATTTTTGTCAGTTTTCTAAGCTTTTACATTTAAACCAATTTTTATAGCATAACTTCTTATATTTTATCTTTTCTTGCGCATTAGTATTCCACCGCTAATTATTTTTATTTATAGAAACTTTTTCTTTTGATTCTCCAAGTACATCTTTTGCTACTTGTTTAATAGTGTGTTACTTTATCTCACATAAGTTACTTTATCTCACATAACATTTCACATAACATTTGTTTTTCATGAATATCCTAAATTTTGAAATATAGAATTTTACTCATAAAAATAATTTTATTTGTCTTTTAGGTTTCCCCATTTATTTCTACGATAATGAGTCCTAGTATTCTTTATTTTACAACTCTTCAACTTAAAATCTAGAACTAATGATCAATGTTGGGTGCTTAAATCCTCACTTGGAATGACCTTACAATCTTTACAATCTTGACGATCTCTTCTTCTCATAAGAAAATAATCAATCTATGTTTTATTATATCCATTCTTATATGTAATAAGATGTTCATCTCTGTTCTTGAATAAATTATTAGTAATAATAAAATCATACGCTAAAACAAAATCTAAAATGACTACCTTCTTCATTAGTCACTCCAAAATCATAGCCCCCGTGAATATTTCTGAAATTTTCAACCACTCTACTGACATTGATCTCCTCCAATAAAATGAAATTTTCAACCACTCTACCAATGAAAATCATTGAACTTTTCAACCATTTAAATCTTCTTCAATAAAAATTCTTTCTTCAAGAGGTATCATTTGTATTAAGTCTTCTAAATCATTTCAAAATTTATCTTTAAACCTCATATCTAAACCTACTTGAGGAGCATAAACACTTATAATATTAAAAATCTTAGTATCAATGATAATCTTAAGGGCTATAATTATATCTCCAACTCTATTAATTTTTATAATATTATCTTTCTAATATTTAATTTTTATAATATTATCTTTCAAATTCTTATCTATAATTACACCTAAATCATTTTTAGTGTGACTCTTACCAGAATACCAAAGTTTAAAATCTAAGTTATCAATCTTTGTATCATTTTTCTCCAACCCATTTAGTGTTTAGCTTCTTGAATAAATAAGATACTAATCTTTCAATAAATCATAATATCAATTAACTTCATTATTATACCATTGATAATACTTATATTCTAAGATCATATCCTAATATTAATTTCATTAGTTTTATGGACTAACTTCTTTATTCGCATCCGTCCGTAATATGAGAATTTTTGCTTATTTGACTGTCGGCATAATTTTTGGTGTGGGGTTTGCCCGTAAGAAGTTATTGGTCATCTGAATTGAAATCCTATTGCCCGCTTCGGAAGGACGTTTTAAAAATTTTAGTTTTGAAAAAGATGAAGTCAAACTGACCCCATAA